GGGGGGGGGGAGGGAGAGAGAGAGAACAAAATCAATCAGCAGAAGAAAAATAATAATTATTAATTATGGCTCTAAGATTTGTAGAAGGAAGAGAAAAGAGAAATATTGAAATGACAAAAAAATATTTAAAATATTTTTTTGTGAAATGTCTTCCAAATCTTGTAGTGAATGAGAGATAAATTTTAAGAATTTTTTTTTTAATTTTTTTTTTTGTTGAAAAGTCTTCTCAATCTTGTAGTGAATGAGAGGTAAATTTAAATTTTTTTTTTTTTGGTTAAAGTTAATACCATAGAGACTTTTATTAAAAAACAAAAAAGTCATTAACATTTTAAGTACCCATGACATACAAAAACTTCTAAATTTTTTTTAATTGAATACATTTATATTTTTAAAGAGTCTTTAAAAGTCTATATTTCATACTTTATAACTTTTTTAAATAATTAGAAGTATTTAAAGTTTCAATTGAATATATATTTCCTAAGAGAATGTTTGAGAAGTATTTATATATAGCTTAAATTGTACATAAATTAAATTTAGTAGTGAATAAATAAGTATTATTCATGGATCACTCGTATGTAAATAAAAAGCTATTTAAATATTTAAAAACATGAGCCAAACATAAGTTAAAACAAACTATAAAGTATAAACTACTTATTGCCATGTTAACTTAAGAAAGAAAAAGAAAAAGTAGAAATTGAAATATGCTTACTCCCATGGAACATCTCCTGCAAGCAGCCAGTCTCCTTCTTTGTCTTGATACAAGATTGTATACTCAGTGCCGTTTCTGTCAATTTTCAAGTCTGTGCCATTAACAAAACCAAACAAAATATTAATGAGCTTCAGAAGAATTTATCAGCTAAAACCTCAAAAAATTGAAATCAGTTAGCCACCTAACTTATAAATTTGAGCAAAAATAAGCTTCGCCATCAAAGTGAAACAATCTTATAAGTTAGGCAACCGCCAAGTGTTCTTTCAGAGATAGAATCTTACATTTGGTAAACATGTTGAGCAAGGTGAGTTTTAAAGCTTGATAAGAATCAAAAAGCCTTAAATCTATCTTGCGCCCAATGGCAACACCCTCCATCTTCACCTTCACGTACAAACTCTGCCTATCTTTTACATTGTTATTAAAATTTTCAATATTCCAATTACCACCCTGATCCTGATACTGGTGGAGCAATTCTTTCCTCAGTGAATTGATATTTTCTTCCTCATTACTCTTCCTGTCACAGTATTTGACCATTGTTAGTATAAATTTATATGGAAAAGGGATCCATAATGTGTGATTCATCTATTGTCATATGCAATAATAATATAGCAAAATCAAAGCTTACTTATTGTCTGTGCTACTACGATCATCTTCTTCCTCATTTGGCTGCTCATGACTCCACAAAAGCAAACGCAGCTTCTTATCTTCAACGTCACTATTTTCAAAAGCTTCTGCAAATTTACACTTACGCCTCTTTATTTCCATATCCATTTCCATGGGAGTCTGATTTGGAAGGGCAAGACCCAGTTCAAGCTCCATATAATTAATTACTATAAGCTAAAAAGATCAGAAATATATGCAGGGTTTTTATTATTCAATTCCAATGGATCTTTACTTTGAAGTTTGAAGTTGTTCAGTCTAAATACACACACACACACACACAGATATGGTGTCGTGTGCGTGTTAATTTGTGGGGAAGAGATGAAAAGGACATTGTCGGATGAGATGGAGAAAAATTAAAAGTTGGGTCGGCCAAAAGAGGAGCACTGATTCGGATAGCTGAGAAAAACGGTGTGGTAACGTTTTACTGTTTTAGGCCCGCTTTCCCCGCCATCAATTCAACATTTATCCCACCTTGTCTCTTTGTCCCCAAGGTTACAATTCTCTCCCTATTTGTAGGATGAAAGTCGACCTTAGTCATGGATAAAGAAGTCATAATTTAGTATCTGATCATGTGGAAGACTGTCGGCTATTAGCTAGAGTTATATGAAATCTATTTAATAGGTACAAAGAAAGTTGATCTTAGAGATCCAATCAAGTGGAAGATTGTTGGCTATTAGCCATGTTTCAATGAATCTTGCTACTCATATACCAGGTTCTATCGGTCCCCTAACAACAGGGGCGTCCCATGATTTTATTATTCATCGTGGGGTCTCCTGTTGTGAGCTATTCTCAACTTTGTGCTTTAACCATTGACAAAGGTCATTAGTCTCACTTTTCAAGAATCTTAGGAGCAGACGTTATTGAATATGTGAAAAAAATATGTTTAATGTTTTTTATATGAGTCTCAAAGTTCAATCTTAAAATATGTTTGAAAGATTAGTTATCAAAATATTATAAGTAGATGAAAGTCCAATTTAAATTAATAATTACTTCTCTATTTATATAACGAAATCTCACCCACGACACACCAAAATCTTAATTAACAATTTATCCTGTTTGGTAAAGATTAAAATTATATTTTTAGTAAATTTTGATAAAAGTTGATGAAATGTGAGTTGTGGAATCCATAAAATATGTGGTCAAAATCAATTGTTGATTTTGATTTAAATCAAAATATAAATTTTAGTTCCTACCAAACATGGACTAAAATTTTAAATGAGGTAATTAGTTCATTAATTCATATTTGACACGCTCGTGACAATGGTAATAATTATTTAATTAAATATTGGTGTATGCGGTAATAATTAAAAGAATTCTTTAATTAATTTGCGCGTTCTTGTTTGGCCCCCATTAGTTTTCATTCCATTACATTTCATTTTTCTTTCTTATTTTCATCCACACAATCTCCCATAAAATAATTTTATACATAAATCAAAAAAATTTCCTTTTTTTTCAACCACTCATTTTCTAAAAAACACTATTATACTCATTTTCATTTTTACAAAATTGGGGCCAAACGGGGGCAACAGTTAAATCGCATGTGTGGTCTATGATTACAAAACTTAAAGAGTGAAAGCCCCATGTTTGAAAAAAGAGGCACAAAAATTAATCAGTCTTTTTTTCTATGTGGAGAGGCAAATGAAATCTTTGCAATCATTTCAAGTTCCTTATTAATCTAATTGGTTTAAGGATTTCTAGAAAAACTATGCCTCGACACGTTTCTATTAGGATGACATGATGATGATTAATGTTTCTTAATTTTCAATTGAATGCCACTTAATTGTCATTATGAAAAGTGTATTATTTTGACTAGGTTTGATTACTAAACGTGTGGGACGTGTCGAAAACTTATTGTCAGTTGCTTGATTTTGCACACGAATATCAAGTTCACAGTTTCTTTTATCATAGCAACATGTATTTAGCTGATAAAAAAAACCTGGCAAATTAGTCAATATTGATTTGCGATTTTTTTTATTTTATTTTATGTTTTATGAAATTAATTATGAGTTTTTAGGGAATTTTCACGGGGCAGATCCCACACGGTTTACATCCGTCGTGATCTTTATTTAACTTCATTAAAATTTTGAAAATTGATAAACAAGTACTCGAGGACCAAATCAAAATCTTTATAGCTTATGGGACTATAGAAGTAATTAATCCCACCAATCATTCTAAAACATTCTTAATTACTGTATCATCTTAATTACTCTATTCGTCATCAAGCTTTCAAAATCTACCACTTTAGTCACTGAATTTATAGTCACCGAAGTTACAAAGTTGACTATTTACATATTCATTGAAATTGATGCATCCGAAGGCATTGCTTATGTAGTTTATGACTATGGTGATCAGTTAGCATTAATAAGTTTTAAAAACCCACTTTCACGCACAATTTTGATTTCATAACACTCGATAAATGTTCTAATATTGGTCATCAGTTGGACCTCATAAAATCTAGTTACTACAGTTCAGTGAACTAAAAGAGGAAGATATCGGCAACAAATAGAGAAGGATCTCTGCCCATCTCATGCTGTCTATGGACGTTCTGACAGAGAAAAAATATTGAGTTTTGCAATCACTCATCTATGAAAATTGTTATACGTGTTTGATATTTAACGAAAAGTAACAAAGTTGGCTTATGTACAAAATAGAGTGTATTGAACATAAAATTTGAACACATAATATCATTTTCTTGCTCATCCGTAGTCTTCCAATTGTTAGCTCTCACAAATATTGTGTCATCTTATTGTAATACATTGATGAGGTATCTTAAAAAGTCTCGAATTGCTCAAACTGATAAGTCAACATGATTTAGGGATGACAGTAGAAGCTAAAGTATGGCTCACGTGGGCTTCTATTTTTCTTTTCCTTTAAAAAAAAAATCCATTTCAAAATGTAGAAGTGATTAAGATCGACATAGCTGGATTTATACATGAATGGAAAAAGACACAGGACCGATGCATTTTGAAGTTTGAAAGGGATGTCAAAGTAAAGGCATCATGTTCTTGTCTATATATTTATCCATTAAGGTCCCCATTCTAGCTAGAGATCAAAGTGTTCAAATGCAAATGTGTGTTCCACTGGGCTTTTCAAGATAAGAACCCTGCTGGATTGAAATCAGACTGAAGTGCAGTTCAAAGTATTTATCTTGTCATGTCTCATTCATTAAAAGATCATATATCACTCACTTAATTCCAAGTTAAATATCTTTTATACGTAAAAATCCTTTGGGATTATGATAGGATTAATGTGTCTTCATTAATTTAAAGACAACATGTGGCGGCCTCATCTCATGAATCTCCACACATCAAGGTGAAAAGGGCATCTTCTATCAAGACATGTATTCTTGGTGTTTATTTTGGGACAAGCCAAGTGGATATGTGACGACCATAACGATGAGAGTTGGTAAGTTGATCTAGTCTAAATGGTCAAGCATTTATAGGGTGATATGATTAAATGATGTCTATTTCACAGATTTTTTAAGTTTTTAGGTTTATGATGATAGCAAAAGCATTTGTTGAATTCTTATTAAGACATCTCATCTAAAAATCGAAGGTTTTAGAAAACTCAATAATCATATTCAAAATTTCTTTAAAAGTTTAAATTGTGCACAATTTTTATGAATTGTTAAAAGCGAATCATAAATTCAAAAATTTTATTGCTTTAATACCATATTAAATCTTCTTGTCTTAAAATTTAAACCGTTAAAAAATGAAAAATTTAATCTTCAAGGGACTAGACATCAACAAATTTGTTTTTATTACCATGTGTCATGTGAATATGATGGCCATCGAAACATGTCCCTTGGATTCTAGTACATCGTTGCTTTCATTATATTTGTTGAGTTTTGATACCCAATAAATCATAGGTGATGATGTTAAATTGATGTTGGATAATTTGTATCGCCACCTTAATAATGGTTCGACCTGAAAAACAACTTGGGGCCATTAAAAGCAATTTAATTGAGTTAATATTTTTCATGGTCCAACACTAGTGGATTGACCAAGTTATTGACTTGGATGAGGATATTAGTTAGCTAATTTATTCTTAACATTACCTCTTTTGTTGGAGGCCCAGCAATTTGATTTGTCCACTTGACTTAGCCAATAGTTGATGATCTAATTATCCAATATGCACATATATGTATATATGTATACATATCTATGTACACACACACCCACGCACACACACACATATGTGTGTGTGTGTACATATATAGATATGTATACAGATATAGATATACACGCATACATAGACATATACACGCACACACACACACACACACACACACACATATGCAGTAGCCATTTTGTATGTGCAATAGAAGAGAAATTGTGAGGTAGCCATTCTTGATGATTTGTTTGAGAGTTCAACCATTGTACATTTTTTCTTCCTCCCTTTGTGATATTGCTATCACCGTCTTTCTCCTTTGTGGGGGTGAAAACTAGTGGCAACTGGAGTGTTAAAGTTGTGGGTCGAAGTCGCCTCGATTAGTGTTCGTTTGGTAAGTAAACTGAGTTAGAAATCAAGATTTCTTAAAGATTTCCACGTCCAATGGTATCAGAGCCTTGGGTAGGTGAAAATCTATGATTTTGGGGTGAAAAATAGACCAAAACAATCCTGAAATTGAGCTAGAAATAGGTAGAAAGCTGGAACGAAAATCCGTTGAAGAAGAATTAATCTGTTCGGATCTGTTTTGTTGTTTTCTGGATAAATCACTTACCTGTTAGAAAAACCAACACCATCACTAAACTCAGCAAGCAGAGGTGATGCCGGGAGAGCTGTGCGTGGTCGCCAGTGCTAGCGCTACGTAGGTACACCGACAACGCGTGTGAGGACTCGTCTAATGGATTCGCGCAATGTGGTCTTCAGATAGAATGTTGTAAGTGATGAGGCGGACCTGCAGTGTTGTCGAATTTTAGTTTTGAACAATATAGTGGAAGTTGTACGATTTTTCCTTTGGACATTTGGGTGCCGTTTTTTGTTGCCATGGTTGTTGGAAGCTTTGGGACGGATAGTGATAGTCCTAAAGCAGTGAATTCGCATCTCTTGATTTTTACGGACCTTCAGACGTGGTTCTATCATTATCATATTATTTGCTTTTATTATTGTAGTTAAAACTATTGTGAAGGGTAATAATTTATTTTTTGCATTAGAAGTCATCTTATGGAGTGACGTTAGGTTTGGGGTTATCGTGAAGGGGTAACCATTACCTGTTGTTAGACT